TATTCATGTCAAATATTTGGAACCAAGTGAACAGTGGCAATCAAATTAGTATTAGAGTACAAGCAATACAAGAATCAAGAATTATAGTTACTTCGCAAGCATATGTTGGCATAAAGACATTTGGTTTCTGTTTTTTAGGCAAAATGTATAGAGCTAGGTAAAACGATAGCAATCAAGAAGTAATAGCAATACAAGCGATATAAGAATCAAAAATTAAAAAAATATGATGATATATGAAAATGATCCAAGACTATTGAAATAATCATCACAAATATTGTTTGTTTCAACGAATAGTTCAAATATATCAAAAGCTATTATGCGGAGCGGATGATGGATACATGAATATTAAAAGTAATTTTTTTGGCAAAATGTATAAAGTGAAGTGAAACACTTGCAATTAAGAAGGTGTTAAAAAACAAGCTGTACAAGAATAAAAAATTGCAACTATCTCATTGAGACCATGATGGGCATAAAAACGTTTCAAACGTTCTTATGCCCATCATGTTCTTATGCTTATTAAAAAATTTAAGCCGAATGTATAAAGACATGAAATAATGATAATCCATAAGATGTTTGTCGCAAGACCAATTCAAATAGACTGCAGGCTATTTTGCAGAGCAGATGATGATCACAAGGATTAGAAAAAATTGAACTAAACATATTTTGGGTGAGATTTATAGAACAAGATGAAAGAATGGCAATCAAAAAGTTGTTGTCATAATAGCACTTCAAAAATCAAAGATTATAGATTAATATGCTAGATGGAATTGGTACCAAGATTTGATCATGTATTATGATCAAATTGCCGCAATGGCCAGTTAAAGCAGATCATTTGTTATTCCACAAATTGAATTGTGGGTATGCAGACATTTACAATTGCTTGTAAGTCAAAATATATAAAAGCAAATGAATTGATGGCAATCAAGAAGTTGTTGTGGAGCAAGCAATAAAAACCAAGAATTACAACTATTTCTCTAAGAATTTAATGAACACAAAATCATTTGAAAATATTTTTGAAGTAAAACTTATAGAGATAGGGAAAATTATTTTGAGATATTTTGAGAAAAAATATTTGAACTATATATAAAGAATATATTATTAAAAAAATATTTATTTATGAAAGAATATTTTCAGGAATATAAATTTTTAAGTTTTATAAATTTTCATTTTTTATAGTATAAAATTCATATTTATGTGATATCAAGATTCTTTTACTAAATTTCAAATATTACATAACTTGATCATTTCAATTAACGACTTTAGAAATATTATAATATTTCATCATATATTCATTAATTTTTTAATTTTTTTATGATATTACACATAAGCATCATGTGTTTTTAATAATGTTGTCAATGCTGTCAAAAATTCATAAAATTTTGATGGTTGAATATATTCATTTATTATATATATTAGTAATAAGTTTAGATGATTTTTGATGCTCTTAAAATAAGTTAGTGATATATATAAATAAATAGTCTCAAAAATCGTCTACATTACTGCTATTTTTTATATATTTCTAGAGCATATATGAGGTTGATTAGACTTATTGACTAGAACAACATTAACCAGAAAATTTTAAAAACTCCTAATATGATAATCTTAATATTAGTATCTAATATCTTTTACTTTCTACAAAAAATATCAAATATCAACTGTCGCAAGAAGTAATTTTTATAACGTGATTTTTCAAAATATCTGTACATAAATTCCAAATCACAATATGAATTTAATTTTTTTAAAGTCAAAATCTTGAAAAGAAAACAAATTTTCAAACATCATGTTCTAAAGACTTCCAATGTGTCAGGCATCAACTTTACTTTTTGTACCATGATGTTTGAAAAAACATGTATATCAGAAATCTATCAATACATGCATTTGTCATTTAAGATAAAGCATCAGAATCTGAGACACATTTATATATAATGAACATTTTTCTCTCATAAGTTTCACTATTTTTTACTCCAAAAGAAAATATACAATTTGATTGAAATGAAATGCAATCTCATAAATGTCATCATAAATGTCAACATTTATTTCATGATTCAAATTACTGATGGTTTCAACTATATTAAATTTAAAACATAAATCTAATATTCAATTACCCATCTATGTAGATGTTTCCTTGATGATGATTTTTTATTGTCTCAAAGAGCAACTTTAGCCTTTTTTTTTACGTATTGATTTTTTGTACCTGAGTTGAAATTTTACTAAAAACATGCTGGCTGTTAGACATTTTCTTGTCATACTTCCAATCTGAATAGCTTAAGAATCTATTTCTTCTTCATGATCATACTCTTTATTTCGTTTCAAATGATACTTACAAATCAAAGAAGCAATTTTCTATTGAGTCATTGCCCAAACATTCAACGGGTTTATCAAGAAAGGATAAGCAAGAATTCACAGAAAAACACACGAGCCATACAAAACATGAGAGTAGAAGCAAGTAAGTGGTTCACCCCAGCAAGGCTACGTCCGCGGGCAAAACAAAACAAATAGATGTATTAAATGCATGCTGGGATTACAGATGATGAACTGTGAGTCTAAGTACCCTGTGTTAACCTCTAGAGGTAGCTAACAATAGCAGGTCAACCCGAATCTTGAGATAATTCCAACAAAACAAACTATATGTTCATCCTTATTTGAACTCTATATCAATATCACTATTGCAAACAAACCGCATAGATTATATTGGTATTGATAATCTTCATTATTTTCATGTGAAGAGGTAATATTACACTTTAGATTGAACCATGTAGTTTTTTTCTCATTGCGTTTTTAGGTTAAAACATGAAAAATGCACTCATCATCTGTATCTTCCTTTCTTTTCATTATGTATATTAATTTTTCACCTTGTACAATCATCATTTTGCATAGATTGACTTTAGTTTGGTATGGAAGAATAATTTTTATCTAGTAAAAAGTTTTTTTACCAAAAAGGAATTTTACCAACAGTTCCTAACTTTTAGCTATAACTTTAGCTAACCACATTTATAACACTCTTGTGCTCTTCATGGTGTGAGTCAAACAATCAAGATTTTCTTAAGCACTTCTCTTAGAATTTTAAGAATCAAAATTGCTAAACATATCACCAATTTTTCTACGTCAATATTTGGCTTATTTTTAATATCAATGTCTGTATGAGATAAGTTCAGCCGTAGCTAACAATGGCGGCCAAATGTTGAAATTGTTCTTTTCTCTACCATTCTCACATTCGTCCCATTTCGCAGACTGATACAAAATGCTCGTGACTACTCGTGCTTTCATCATTGTCCTCAGGCCTATTTAAACTTTGTTATTGTATCGTCCGACCGTCTTGTTATTGCAGACGTACTTTGCATGGACTCATATATGACACATATGAAGGTTATGACACGGCTGAACTTGGTGGGACATTGCCAGAATTGTACTCTCCAAAAGTCATTACTATTGTACATGTATTTTGCAAAACCAAAGGAATGCTTTCCGTCTTGTCATCTTCTTTCTTTACACAGTGAAGTACATTGATTTGCAAGGATTCTCAACCTACTCATGTGTACGCCCAGGCAATGGGGATAGTACTTCCATCTATTATCCCATGAACATTGGTGTGCAGATCGATTATTTTAGACTATTCATTGACAATATATATCAAAATCTGATGACATTTATTTTTATCATAGATATCAATCAATTATTTCATTCAGTAATCATTACTATAATAGACCCAGAAGAAGAAAAAAAGCACGCAACGATGGTGGCCAGGGTTGTATACATGTGTTCCTTTATAAAGTCTGTTCAGCAATGTCTTAAAGAATGAAGAAGTTTATACCCTGAATATGTCGTCAGTTAGTATACAACCGGTCGTACATCTGTTGGATCTAGGCCGGCTTAGGACAGCACATCCTGACAATGATGCAGCTTTACACTGTAAAGCTAGGGTCTAGGAATTAGGGTTTATGATCGTCTGTAAAGTTTACAGACGACACAGTAGAGTTTTCCTCGCCAGAGTTAGACCTCGTATTCTTCTCCTCCACTATTTTGTGCCATGCATTTTCTACTCGGTTAATATTTTGGAATATTCAACGGCAAATTTTCACTTGCAAAACTGGGGACAAAGAGCACAAACATTTCTCAGTTTAGATCTAGTTTTTGTCTTGATAATCGAAGTTACTGAGTATTTTAAAATATCATTACCATCACGCTCATTCAATGTTAGGGGTAAACAAGTGGTTAATGCAGAAAGGAAAGGTATTTTGAGATTCCAACATTCGTGGGCCTTTAGGATAGAAGACTATTTACTCACAGTAAACATTCGCTTAAGTCCGTAACTTGATCCGGGAGGTCTGGTGCGGACTTAACTGAGATGCAGATTTAACTCCTCTCAACCTTCGTTTCGCTCTTCCTCCCATCCTGCCTTCGGTTTCCATCTCCCACGCAGGAACCTCAAGCCGAAGTTGAAGAAGCCTAATCAACCCCGCTTGTTCAGGGTTCGCGTCTGCTCGTTTATCCTCCCTTTCTCCCTCCCTCTTCCTCCTTCTGGCGTGACCTCCTCTTGTTCGCGTCTGCTCGTTTATCCTCCCTTTCTCCCTCCCTCTTCCTCCTTCTGGCGTGACCTCCTCTTGTTCGCGTCTGCTCGTTTATCCTCCCTTTCTCCCTCCTCTTCCTCCTTCTGCCGTGATCACCTCTCTGCTGCGAGCAGGGTTTCATATCGTCTCCCGGTGAGGAGGTAGAAAGGCGCCAGTGCCTTTAGGCACTTGCTTCGGCGATAGGTAGTTTGTTTTCAGGGTGACAACCATGGACAGCAGCTTTTATTTTGCTCAAGGAGATTTGGAGCATTTGCATTACATCCAAGTGAAACAACAGCTTCTATTTTGCTCAAGGAGTTTTTTGTAAAATACACTCTTGAGAATTGATCCAAGATCCAATTAAGTCCGCACTTAGTTGAGATGCGGACTGAAGCGAATGTCTACTGTAGATATCATTGACATCACGCTCTTTCAATGTTAGGGTAAACAGGTGGTTATTGCGAGAAGGAAAATATTTTGAGATTCCAACATTCTTGGGTTGTAAGATAGGAGACAATTTACTCCAGAAAAGGAAATGTTCAGGCCCGTCTATACAACATTTTGCCCAACATCGATGAACAAAGAATAAGACACTTCTACTATTCCGGTGATTTACACAGAAAATAGGTTTAAAAACCCGCTCTGAGGATCAATTGCGGACATTCTATATTGCAGTCACAATCATAGGAACCACGTGGCCGGAGGGTGCTTAGTGTACATGCGGGTTCCAACAGATACAGTCGTCGCGACGACGGCGGCGGACCAGCTTGACGACGTCGATGGGATATGCGCGGAGCATCGTCTTGCTCGAGTACAGTCCTCGCTGGCTTGACCCGAGACGCTGACGTCACAGGAGTGACCTAACCGTGGCGACCTCGATGAAGTGACTCTGTTCGGACTAGTGGAGACCTGGTGTAAGACGTCCACGTCGGCCGAGTTGCCAGGACTCTTGCAGCCTATTTCTATAGAGTACAAGTCATCGTCCTGTGCATGGCCGCGTGGCTTCTGGGAAGCACGTTTATTTCTCAAGTCCGTCTCGTCACCGTTCTGAAGGACCTGGCCAATTCGTCGAGGGCCAGATCGGAGGATCCACCGCTGGCCACGGCTGCCGCTGCCTTGAGTTTGATCTCGGCGGCTCCCTTTGCTGCAGCGTGTCCTTCCGCCTCGTCCATGAATATTTTTATTGAGCTCTCGAATTCGTGTTGTTGTACCATTTCGAGGCCATCATTCTCGGCAACTCTCAACCCGGCGTGAAGAATTTCTTGCACGTATCTGCAATATCAAACCATCCGCAAAATTTCGTTTAATTATCAATCCGGGTACCATTTCTATGCTGTCCGAAGAAATAAAAAATACGATGTCAGACGACACTCAAGCTTCTGACTGTGCACCGCGTCTCTCGACTCATCTCCAGTATGAGAAGCAGGCGTGGAAAAAAGAGACGATGCCAAACTCTAATCCCAAGCTTTATTGTGTCAGAGCAGCAGAACGATTCGGAAGGAGATCGTCACATCCAAACTAAATCAGCTATTTACCTGCAATTCAAATGTTGTTCGGCGAAATGTGGCCAGCCGAGTATCGGAACGCCGTATGTCAAACTTTCCATGACGGATTGCCAACCGCAATGCGACATGAATCCCCGCATAGAACGATGGGCGAGGAGCTCCAGTTGTCCCACCCAACCAGTGACGACTTTTCCACGTCCACGAGTTCGTTCGCTGAATCCTGGGGGCAGAACCTCATCTGCAGTCTGGAAGTTGTTACGACCCTTAGACAGAACCCACAGGAATTTTTGTTGGCTTGACTCCAGAGCTCGGGCCAGGTGAGATATCTGTTCACCGAAAAGGCGAACTTGACTACCGAGACAAACATAGAGGACCGACTTCGTGGGTTGAAGTGCAAGCCAGTCGAGACATTCCTCGTGTGAATCTTCCATCGCATCGCCGGTGAACAGTTCGTTCTGGAAGTCTTCCAGCGTCGACAGAGGCCCGATTGGGTAAATAGGCGCAACCTGAAATCACCAAATCCAACCATGAGCTACATTGTATAGGCGACGGACGTTTCTCCCTCTGCCTACAGCTACCTCCCTCCACATTTCGTGTCATCCACGAGGAGTGACCAGATCAAGCTGCAGTTTACTGCACGGCAATTCACAGTGTCCCAGCCGCTTAAGACAGAGAAACGTGGCAATCAGCCTGCACGATATTTCAATTGGCAAAAGACTACTGTACGAAATGGAGGGACGCAACACTGTACCTTCAGATCAGGCCTCCCTGGAAATGCGTTATGAATATGCTGTATAGTTGTACCCTCCAGCTCAGAGAAGGAATTGAATACAATACCATCTGCAGTGGCAAATCCCTCGCCGATGGAAAGGAAGAATTGGAACCAGCCGTTTTCCTTGCTAACAGGCGGGATGTCCTGATACACTCGCAAAAACTCTAAACCTGGCATTTTGTTTATCTCCTCGAAAATCGATAGGATCCACTTGGGACCATCAGGTACTGCTATCAATTTATCTTTGATTTCATGGTGTACTTGCATGAGCCTGGTTGTGATTGCCGCATTACTGGCGTAAGCATATCTCGGCAGGTCGAGTTCATCGGCCACCTCCTGTTGTGTACACATTCCAGAACATACGTGAGAACTGATGGGCTTACACTCTTGGGCTCCTGCTGAAGCAAAAGTCGTAACGTTCAAGGCGGAGGAATGGAGCGCTCAAGATCGGACGTTGCAACTGTTTCGATCAAAGTTCGGCAGTCGAAGAAAACCAGCCCTGTAGGTTTGAAGGAAAACTTGCCTTCATCCACGTTAAGAATCTGTCCGCAAGAATGCACGTTGGTCCAGGTAACCCGGCCTTCTTGTTGGCCTTCAGCTTTTGCACCAGAGGCTGGAAAACTGGTTTCATACCAGCCGCCAAATGCAGGGGAGTCGGCATGCATTGATAATCATCGAGAGCTTCGATGGTGATGTTAAGTTTCAGGAGCACTGCGGGTGAGTAACTTTTCCTCATCTGCTCAGCGTGCTTCTTAAGGGTCACGAATGTGATGATCACTCCTCGCTTGGAAAGCTTCTTGGCAAATCTGATGGCCGTGGAAATGTGGGCCTGTTGCACCATAGGGACCATGAGCAAATGAGTCCGACTCTCCATTTCGGATCCATTCTGGTGGCCGTTGGTCTCCATAGCTGCACTGTGGAGCTGACCGATGTCCTAGGTCGACTGCGATGACGAACACAGCAACTGTTACTCACAGTTATTCACACAGAGCGGATGGCCCTTCTCCGCTTGCAGCCAAATTGGACTCGGACGCTGCTTCGAGGTTAGACCAAAAAAGATATTCACAGCAGCCAGTATTCGACACCCCACAACGGAGCGAGGAGTCTCAAACTAATATATTCCTCATCGCTGCTCACGTAATCATTGCGGCTTCTCGCTCGCGAATATACACTATTCGCCGACATCGAACCAATATTTCGGCAGGATTTTCTCGACGAACGACACATGCACAACCGGAATCGCTTTCTGCGCTCGACACGAGGTACCTGTGAGAAGTTAGCTACATATTATTTGACGAAGAACCCAAGAATCACCGCACCTTGCACGACCGAAGTGTCGAACGCGAGCCGGCTTTCCTTGCTGTCCTCGTCTGCTGCTCAACTGACGCCGTCGAATTCCTGCTCGACCACGAGCTGTATGCGCACTCCACCCTAGACTTATCTGAAAGCAGAACGTTCCCTTCCCCTTCCTGACTGTTTGCTGTATTTAATTGATCTGCACGACACGATCGGAAGAACCACTCGACTCTCTGCCACATCGTCCGCCCGCAGACACGGGCAGTTGTTTCCACTCCTGAGGTAAAAGCTGCTCGTCCCTCGGGATGTGTCCTTTTGACATTCTGCCCTTTTTCGTCTCATTTGCTGTGACCCTTTCGATCGTTGGAAGATTTGACTCTTTGGATTTTCAAACTTTGGGCAGGAGTAACTCCCAAAATAGCGAGTTATCTTCGAGGCCAAGAGTACATACACAAACTTTGTCAACCCATAGATATTTTTGTCAGGATTTCTTTCCACAAATGTCATGAGTAAATATAATAAAGCCATTTCATCAAAGTTGACATGGAGTAATAATTTCAACTTTCCATATAACATCAAACAAAATCACAAGAACGCAAAGCAAAGTATCTAACGCAAGTATCTAACATTTACAAAATACATCTCATTATAACTTTCATGATTATGATACATTCGTAATCATGAAAACTATTCTTATCTTGACTAAAGTAATCATTCAATTTGTCAAATTCTTTAAAAAAATATACTTAGCGTCTCAATACACTCTATATATTCGCACTTGAATAGAAATGAAAATTTTTCAGCTAATCCTGAGGATTTTTTGTTCATACTTTTAGATATTCAGTTCTGTTATGATTTATTTAAACAAACATTCGCTAAAAATCATGCTCACAAAGTCTAAAATTGACTTAAAAACAAATAATTGATTCATACATTAGTTATTCTCATCAATGAAACTACTTACACAAGAATTAAATATAGGTTTACAAGGTATGTCTTCAAAAGTTAATACTAACGTTTTTATATAAAACCTTTAAAACTTAGAGTTAAAGATAACTATATTAAATTTTTTAAAATTTCTTGCTATATTCTTATATTAGATCTGCCATGTCAATTATCAATATGAATTTTTTTGTATTTTAAAAGAACATTTAAAGTATATGTTTTTATAAATTTTCATTTCATAAAAAACCATGATAAATAAAATTATATATACATATAACAAATAAATTGTATTTTTTTTTTTGCAAACATTGTTTAATGTCATAATGTTTCATAAATGAATTGTTGTGGTTAACTCCGGTTAAGGAAGTAATCTCGTGTTATAGCTATTTATAGCTAGTTGTGTATCTCGCATTATGTATTCAGATGTGACTTACCTTCTCGCGTGCTTTAGCCGTGTACGTAGCCATTAAGAGCGAACCATGTTATATGAGTATCTCTTGTGATTCGTACTTGGCTTGAATGACTCTTGATTTTACGTTTAGAATTGGTATCAGAGTGGACTTACGATTTGTAGTTTGATCCATGTTTTTGTTACGTGTTTTTTTTTTCACTTACACGTGAAGTGAAAATTTTATTTAATTCTTCTGAATGACTGTCAATACAAGATGTTTTTTTAATATTTTCAGTTTTCTAAATCTTGTCGACAGTTTTTTTTTCATATCTATGTTTTTTTCACTTATGGGTACAGTGAAAGTTTGTTTTACCTTTTTGAAAGTTTGTGAATAGAAGAATTTTTCAGTTTTTTTCCAGTCTGCTGAATCTTGTCGACTTTTTTTTTTCTTCAGTCTCAGAATTTTGTTTAACATTTTTTTGTAGTCTCAGAGTTTTTTCAAAACTTTGTAGACAGTTTACAGCGTAGAAGCAAACAAAGATACAACATTTCAGTCATGTCTATATCAATTGTTTAATGTGATTGAAGCTTTGCTGACAGGTTGTTTTGTGTTTAGTGAAAAGTTTCTGCTGATGGTGTGTTCAGTGAAAATGATTTCAAATTTTCTTTTTACTAAACGTTGCTAAGTTTCTATTTCGAAACTTGATTTTTTGATACTAACGGTTTTTCAGCAACAGTTTTTTGAAGTGTGTTTTGTCACGTAGTGACCGAAAGCTCTTTGTGGTATCAGTATTTTGTTATGTTGATGCTGACTACGGACATGATCTAGATAAAATGAGATCTATAACTCGGTATGTGTTTATACCTGGCGGTGGAAGCATTAGTTGGAGGTCTACATTTGCAGAAATACGTAGCTTAGTGAACAACGGAAGATTAATATATGGCAGCAGCAGAATCGGCAAAGGAAGTTATTAAGTTGGGTAAGCTTATTATGGAAATGAGATTGAAGCAGGGCGTGTTAATCTTCATTGTGATAGCCATAGTGCTTTACATTTGTCTACGAACCAAGTCATGGATAGCAGAGTGAAGCACATTGACATTAGATACCACTTTATCCGACAAGCAGTGTCTAATAAAATGATTTAGCTAGTCAAAATTGACGATAAACCAGGTCTCCTAAAAAGTGGCAATTGCCACCCAATGCCACTTTTTGCTTAAAAGTGGCACAATTTCTGTTTTATAAGTGGCATCTATTTAAATTTGACTTAAAAGTTCGTGTTGCTTGCTCTGGAATATGCCTTCAATAGTCAAATTTGTTAACGAAGTCCGATTCAAGTCGATCTCCCACTTCAGTACCGAAAAATCGGATTCAACCGATGTCGTGTTGGCGAAGGCGATCGCCAAGCCGCTGCAGAAGCACCGAAGTGTTTTGAATCGGTCCTTCAACGAATCCCAGGCTTCGTTAAACATCGTCTTCAGGTCATGTCGATCAATTGTACGCCGGACAGTTTCCTCGTTCTCATACGCCTTGATCAAATCCCGGTGATCCGCTTCAACTTCCTCAATTTGAGCTGCGGTCCAGAGCTTTGCGAGACGAATTCGGAAAAAATCAAGGACACCCCAATTAAAATCGCGAGGGCGGAGACGGATCAGCTGGGCAGGCATCACGGGTGGTGCGTCTTCATTGGACGCGTTGTTGTTGGAATCACGCTCGGCTCAAACTTTTTTCAAGCCAATTATCAGTTCGATGGCGAATTTGGCAATGCCATCCAAAGTGGCAGCCTTAACATCGTCAGTGAATGAAGAGAACATGTCCCGCGTCCACGAGCCCTGATCTTCGACGTGCCCAACGATCGTTTCCATGCTTATCCACCATGCATCCAGCTTGTAAAAGTCTGTCTGGTTGATCTCGAGGAAAGACTTGTCAATGTCTTCGTGACGAATGCACATACTGTTACAGAGACGGAGTATCAGATTATCGATTTCGCCCTACTGCTGTGAAAGGACAAGGTCCCGAGACTGCAGTATCGCGAACGTAACTGCTACGGTGTCGAACATAGAAGTCACAGCAGTGGCCATGATCCACCAAGGTTTTGATGGCGATTGAATAGGGTTCCTGGATTCGATATGGTTAAAGAGTTTGACTCGATGCTGGAGTATCCACTTGATTAGTTTACCAAAGGCCACCCATCGCGTCGTGTCTTTTGGACATTTGGTGCCGCCCATAGCTGTGGCGAGATTCTGCTGGGCCCGTAAATGGACCGAAAATGCATGGGCAGTTTTGTAGAAATCGCCACCGTCCATTCTCTTTGTGCAGCCTTTGATAACAAGATCAATCTGATGAGGTGGACACCAAATTCGAAGGATATGATTCTCCGCTTACTTTTCCAACAACGTGACAAGACCACCGTGCCGGCCTGTCATTGTGTTTTCGCCATCACTGCTGACCGAAAGCAGCTTCTCTCGCCACTGCGAATACAGAACGTCCAATACCTTGACATTGAGATTGAAAATGTTCAAAGATGATGTTCAGAACCAGATGAAAGTTGTAGATGACACCTTCAACACTCAAACGAATCCGAATGTCGATATAGGAAATTCCAAAGTGAGAGGAACCATCGCACGCAATCAAAAATGCCCAAACATCACTCCGGGAGAGAATTTTGCTGAGAAATTGGAGATCTACAGCAACGAGAATTCGTACGAACTGCGACACTATATGGTCGCTGATTCCGGAGAGCTTCGGATTCTTGGTGCGACGTTGATGTTATTCGATAACGGCTGCCGTTTGGCGAAAAGAAAGCCCAGAAGATGTGTGGTCAATCGCCAACCAAAACCGTAGCTGGTTTTTGATAACAACCGATCTTGATTCACTACCCTCATCACGCTTGAACAGCTTCATTGCATTGGCTTTCGTAATTGGTTCTTGATCTCCGTCAGCTGCATCATCATCAGGGTGAAAAAAAAGGTCTTCGATAAGATTGACAATGGGTTCAGCAATAGTAAAATGCAAAACATCGCTGGCCGAATGACAAAAGTACAACATTGTGGTGTTCTTGGACTTGTCGAAGTACACTCTCTGCTCGTCGGGCGGAAGCCGGCAATACTCAGCCCATTCCGATGAGTGCTGGTTCTCGAGATGTTTGCGATAGAGCTCGGGACGATATGGTGGACTGGAATAGCAAATCGCATTGCTGCGTGCTCTCTTTCTGCCGACATCATCTCCATCGCGACCAAAATGCACGCAGAACCTGCATTGAACACATAACACCAGCTTCTTAATGTCGCGTCCTGCGATCTCCAGTCCAAACTAGATGCAGTGCTTCTCTTGAAACGGTGTTGTTCGCTTCCTGGACACCATTGCTGGATTGGGATGGACTAAGAAACAATACAAACTGCGCGCTCCAACGGAATGCGAGTACTAAAAAAATTCCTTAAAAGTGGCAAATTTTGAAATTTATTTGTGGCATATGTGGCAACTATAAATGGAATGCCACTTTTTAGGAGGCCTGCGATAAACTCAATCCAGCTAATGCTCTGATCAAAGTTATTCTTTTGAAGTGTTTCAGGCGACATTGTGCTACCATGCAAGTTCTGCATGGGGAGCAAATGTAGAATTCGCTAGCATGGTAACTCTAGTTATCTCTTTATATATTAACTTTATCCTATGATGGCTACGGTTTAATTCTAGTTAATTTTTGTTTAAAAAAGTAACTTGTATTAAGTTTCTTTCTAAAACTTCTCGCGGAGTAATTATACATACTACAAGATCTTTGATCCTTCTATGCAAGCAAATTTACTAGTTAACTCTTTATGTTATTACTCTATCCTATTATAGCTACAATATAGTTCCAATTAACTCACTTGTAAAGAGTGACCTTGTTTTAGAATTCTGTCTAGAACTTCCCGTTGAGTAAAAATATAGATTACA